TATTCCACAATCAATTATTTCCAACTTTGTGTATCAGTGTGTCTTCCCTGTTTTGCTTTATTGTTCACCTGTTATTTTGTCAGCCTCCTTAAGAAAGATTTTAAACCTCTTCTATGTGGACTGACCATCAGCCGTGTCTCTTCAATCCCACTAAAGGAGTTGATAACTAACCTAAGCGAACGTCATTTAAATGCATATGAAAAAGTTGCGCATAAGATTCTCATCGACTCCACACATCCGCTACACGCTGATCTAAATTCCTGTTGTTTCCATCCCTCAACCAGATCACAACGTCGTTGTGTTCCCTCTCGAATAAACATTTANTCGTAACTCCACAGTACCCTCATTAGCACGTATTCTTGTTAACAAAGAACCGGTTTTTACGGACTTTGTTAACAGTTTTCGGATTTAAATCTCTTTTTTCGATGTTATTTTTATTTCTCCCTTGCTCCAAACTGTAAATTTTTTTTACTGAAATGTGGGCTTCGTGCTTGCAGAAGTTATTACAATATATAATATGTATAATATATATATAATTCAAATATTTTTCTTAAGTTGCTTATTTTACGGAATTTTTTGCTCAAAATGTATCCTACATTTGTTTTGGAGAATATTGAAACGAATAAAAAATTTACGATGGTATTGGTCCAGGTTGCTCTACTGCTTTCCAGAGAGCATTACGTTGAAAAGAAACCTCTCTTCATGTATACGATTCCTGAATTCAAACTCTTCAATGACCGCACTTCAATGTCAGCAGGAAAATTTACATTTATAAAATTGCTTATCCTTTCTCGTCTCGCATCATTCAATAGTTAAGAGATGGTCCCCGAACGCGTACCGGACAAGGACCAATCTCTATATAAAAAAATGAAGCGGTAATTTAAAATAGGATCTAGATGATGAATTCATCGTCGTGTAAATGAGGCCTGAGCTGAAAAGCTGGGAAGCTCTGGGCAGCTGTTTCGATCTGGTTGAATCCATCTATCCAACTGGGGATCGAACCCGGGACCTCACAGGTGGAACGCAAGCGTACTAATTCAGCGACAGAATTATGTCAGCCTCATGGTCACGCTAGCCGGTTGACCCTATCTAGGCTGCTTTTCGTTTAAATCCACTTTATCGCATCCAGTTTCCGACTCCCTGCTGCGCTGTGATCCCCCATCCCCCAGGGTACATCCAACCACACGTGTTTATCGCACGCACGCACGCGCACACACACACACAGTCTCAATTCCGGTCTGTTTCTTTGAGTGATGCTTTCCTGAGTCGTGCTCTCTCTCTCTTTCTCTATCTCCCTATAATCCGACACTGTCCTCTGCGTATCTGCTCTTTTCCCCAGTGACGGTCGAACTCCGGTCGGGAATGAATTGTGCCAAAGTCCGGAAACAGTCAAAGCTCGACTGGGCAATTGGCATTATGTGCTACGAAATCTCCGTAACTACTATCTGGTATGTCTGTGTGTATATATATAAATACACACAAATAACCACGTCCCCGTTTTTTCTTATTTATGCTAGGGTAGACTACCCAGGTGGTCTAAAGTTTTGTCTTTTTATGCAAAAGCTCACCATAGACAGATACGATGCTCATTCAATCGATACATTTTCCAACAGTCCTTTTATCTGCAAATTTATATCTTTTTCGTATCATCTTGTCTATCCCGATAGTAATGTTCCATTTTGGTACAACCGAACAGTAGGTTGGTTTGATATATATATATATATGTGTGTGTGCGTGTGTGTGTGTGTGTGTGTGTGTGTGTGTGTTGGGGGGTGGACTGTTATGATGCAATCGAGAATCAATGCGACCGAATAAACTTTTAAGAACACACAATGTAGGCAAACATGAAATTCCTTTTCAAGCCTTTGCAATCATATTTATACCAAACAATTTCAGTAGGGTCAAATAAATGGGTGGATGATTCGTATGTGTGGTAGTGAGCCTGAGAGAACCCAAATTCATATGGCGTTTGGATTACTCAACAACAGATCGCTATGTTACATCATGGCCGTGTGAACAAGCGACTTTCTCTTCCCTTGGTCAGGGGATTTGGAGAGCTTGGTTCCACGCACACACACACACATTTGTCTGTGCAGTCAAATTACTTCCGGTTCGGCGAGCGACCGAAGCGCGCTTCGAGGTCACAGCTGTCTCCGTCGTCCAGTGGACGACCCTGACGACAGTTATTTGTTCCCGTTAGTTTTTGATTGTGGTTATTCCAGATTGTATGTCTCTCGTATTGACAGGAAAACTTGAGGAAATTAGTTCATTAGATCGCCCAACAGCAACAGCAATGTAATAACAGTCATGTTTGGAGGTACCACATCACCAACTGTTGCATGGGATGCAGATTTGTTTTCTGGACAGTGGTAGTGGCAGTGACAAAGGGTCCAGGGTTCAAATCCCGTATAGACCGGTAGATATGTACACGAGGTCTAAGCTCTAAGAGAGGCGAAACTCGAGTTCAGTACTTTCCGATTGTTTGGCTGATTGGATGAACTGAACGACGACCAATCTACATCAACGAAGGTGGAACAGCTGTATGCATCAGAATGTTCACAATCCTTAAAAAATGAATTTCCCGAGTAGACAGCTAGTTTTGTCCGGTCGACCTAAAACGTATCTGTCAACTGTGTATGTCTACCTGAGGGGTAGTGGGGTTGCATGTTGAGCTGGTGGTAACAGTTGTCCACACACACACACACACGTTACCAATTGCTTTTGTGAATACCCCGCATCCTTTGATGCTAGCTCTGCATCAGTTACGATTGACTGATTGAGTTCCTACTTCTGCAGTGCATGACCGGCGCTGCTATAGGTTGGTTCATGGACTGGGGACCCATTGGTGTTTGGAGCAACTCCATTTGCGACCGTTCCCTTTTGGAGGTCATATCTCACAGGTTTCCCATGTCCGTGCATCCGCACATCCGGTTCATACAGCACCCAAAATCACACCCCTGATACATCCAGACACACACACACACAGCTGACCCGACAATGGAAAACAATGCCGCTGTGTTCATTGCTTGATGTTTCTCGAGCGGTGGTTGCGCAGATTAGTGACGTGCGCCTTCACGGCGGGAATCGAGATAAGCTGTAGAAGACTCACAGTTAAATCCGGTTGTCAAATCTGCAAGTCGCGACAACTTGCTCTGTGTTCTACTTTCGACTGGTCCCAATGGGCGCGGGGGACGGGGCGGGGTGGTGGTGTTGGGAAGGCGAATAATGTGTACCCCGCTAACATTAGGATATCGGTCAAATGGCACCTATCCCGGGGAACGTTGTCGGTAGGGTTAGGATAACCTACCCCATTCATGCAAGAGAGGATAGTCTCGTTCTGTTTCTGACACAAACAAATCACCTCTCTGACACTCTTTGAGTGTCTAAACCAGAACGTGTTGTTCTTTTACTCGCATTACTCACTACCCACGCAATGAAGTGGTCGCATATCACGGTGAGCACATTATCATCATCATCATCATCATCATGTCTTTCCGTTGAGCTGGCAAATGACAAGCATCAGATAAGTGGTTGATTATCCCTCTCCAATGGAGTGTTTATTGTGCACAACGAACTCAGTACTGAAAAGCACAGCCCAAACAGCCTTTCACACTCGTGTAATATACCGTATTTTTCGGACTATAAGGCGCACAGAAAATCCCTATATTTGTAAAAAAATCGGCAATGCGCCTTATATTCCGGTGCGCCTTATGTATGAACAGTGTATGTTCACACTGCGCTGAAAAATCTGTCAAAATATTTTATTACGACTTTGGTAAGCGACGAAGCCACTTCCCTTGATTGTCGAAGCATAATCGCTGCTGGTCTTAAACCTCGTATAGTCAGCTTTCTATGCTGTCTAGACAGACTTGTTTTGGGGTGGCTAACTGTTGTAACAGCAAAAAGTTATACGCTGGATTGCGCTGGTTGAGTTTGCTGCCACCTTGTTCCTATGCGTCTTATAATCCGGTGNTTACCGTATTTTTCGGACTATAAGGCGCACAGAAAATCCCTATATTTGTAAAAAAATCGGCAATGCGCCTTATATTCCGGTGCGCCTTATGTATGAACAGTGTATGTTCACACTGCGCTGAAAAATCTGTCAAAATATTTTATTACGACTTTGGTAAGCGACGAAGCCACTTCCCTTGATTGTCGAAGCATAATCGCTGCTGGTCTTAAACCTCGTATAGTCAGCTTTCTATGCTGTCTAGACAGACTTGTTTTGGGGTGGCTAACTGTTGTAACAGCAAAAAGTTATACGCTGGATTGCGCTGGTTGAGTTTGCTGCCACCTTGTTCCTATGCGTCTTATAATCCGGTGCGTCTTATATATGAAAATGGATCCGTTCATTGATACTGCGTCTTATAATCCGGTGCGCCTTATGGTCCGAAAAATACGGTACTTCGGTCACAATGCGTCATGACTGTCATTTTTATCCGGGAGCAAACCACTACCAAAACGAGCTGCTGAGTGGAATTTTCAGCTGCGGTTCAGTTGCACTTTAACCTTCACGAATCTGTGTCTGAACACAACTCACCGCGCTGTCCACTCTTGGTCGATCCGGTGTGAAGGAAAAGCTCTTCACATTTTTTTTCCTAATTGAATCGATCTACTTTTCGCTTTGTCAGGAATGAGACATTTGAATTCTTCTCATGTACCCCCAAAAAATCTCAAACCTGATGCGTTCTGTCAGACGAAATGTGTTTCATGAAAGAAATGGAAGATTTGATTTGTTTATTTGACGAATTTGTCGTGTAAATGAGGTGTGAGCTGAAAAGCTCTGGACAGCTGTTTCGACCTGGTTGGTCTCATCAGCGGTGCGAATCCATCGATCGAACTGGAGATCGAACCCAGGACCTCACAGGTATAACGCAAGCACACTACCTACTGGGCCACCGGGCAGCTAATCCTACCGTTTCTCATTCCGAATATAGACGACGTAGCACAACGCATCTACCAATTACTTTGGACATTTGAGTGAGCTGATGTTGGTTCAGAATCGCGCGGAAATCGCGGTAGAAACTGGTCCGTTTTATTAGTCGTTTTTCGTCTCACACCACTGCCGTACTTCGGTGCATGGTCATCATCCACCTAAAATGTTGTGAATCTCCCGTGGATCGATAACGTGTACTGATAACGTTGGCTTGTGCTGCCTCACGCATGGAATTGCACGCGGCCGCTCATGTGACTTGATCGAACAACATTTACCAAGCGTTGAAACACTGCTGTTAGTTTTTTAAAAATTTCCCCGAAGAGACATAAATGTACATTGGTTTTCACACATACACCAACCACTGAAAGTCCTCGGAAGTATCACATATCTTCATTAGCAATCACCATGACATTACTTATCCATCATGCTTGTGATGACTGCAGACTGCAGTGTCCCATATTTTGTCACTTGCCTACCCGGTTCACTGCACCGGCTAGTTTCGGATCCACCTTGTGTGATGAATTGTCCATAGATTTATCTGTGCCTTTGGACATTGAGTATGACCATGCAAAACGGAGATCGAATCCGGTTTGGGAATATAAGCATGGTACCAGGACGACAAGAATGAAAGTGAAAACTGAGGACTTGGGTAGAAATGAGGAACACGAGCGGAAGCAGATCACAAAGAACAACGTTTTTTGATTTGCCTGATCACTGTTTCTTTTTGTCTGTTTTCGCATTTACTTGCCCCTTACTGGGCAAGAAATTTCAACAGATAAAGGGAGCGTACAGTATTCGCGTGATTGATTCCTATTCTGAGCCATGTCTCTTAACCTCTGCAATCCACAACATTCCCCTGAGGTTCAACCAAGAAGGCGGGTAGCAACATCCGAAGCCAAATACATGAGAGAAGGCACTTTTCGTATATCACTAATGCTATGTCCATACGACCCCTACTCCTCGTCGTTGGTCCCTTCACGTACACTCTGTAGGACTAATAGAAAATTGTATATCCGGTAGACTAAACAAAAACCATGGTGTCCACACTGGTGAGCTCTGGGCCACGGACCCGTTCGGAGATTAATCAGAAAATCCAGGCGGTTACCAAGTGACACGTACGGTACACACGTGACTCATGACAATGATCCTGTTAAAAAGATATCCGAAACTTCGCTGATCTAAGAAGTTCTTGATCCAGGTCCGTTGATCCGATCCTCCTAAATAGAATCACTGTTTTCTCTCAACCATTTTCCTCCGCATTCCTTGTGATTAGAATCGTCGTCTGTTGCACAAGAATATCTCTGTCAAACGGAAAACTCCTTATTGCTATTTGAAATTTCTTTTCTTCACATTCCCGTTGACCGGTGTCCACAGCTCCACAGCCCCGGAAGTTCGTCGAGTTGAAAGTATTGCGAGTTCATCCGTACATTTAGCGCGCAGGAGACTGTGCACGCATCATGTAGGTTAATTGCTTTCCAATACTTGGATGTATTAGTTCGTGGCTGTCAACCTCCATCGTTTCTCCAGTCCACAAAACAGATCACTCTGTCAATGTTGTTCTCGCGGAAATCGACGCATGTCAACGGACGAAGCAGCACAACTTGCACTGCCCTGACCACGGGAACAGCAGAGACAAAAGCAATGCACATGTCACAATGAATGTGCAAACTTGGGATAATTGGAAAGAATCATGAGGACTCTGGGCTGTTATCACTGGAGACGTGTCGATGTCAGTCCTGTTGCCCGTCTCGATAATGTGCACAGCAATCAACTCTCACAGATTAGTTTGACCAGTTTACATGTACGAATTTGACGTCCTCGCCCGTAGAGTGACCACATTATCCTCTCTTGGCCAGGTCACCCACGTCTGGGGTGGAACCATGTGGCCGAAGAAGAAGGCATATGTTTGGGCGACCTAGGCAAAGTGGGATACATAAACCGTTTTCTTTGAGGAACTATTTGGAAACAGATCATACGAAGCAATGATAAGGATTCTCGACGCCATTCGTTTGATCTTAACACCGAAAGTTATAGTTATTTCATAGAAAATAATAATAACAATAGCAATAAGACACTGTTAGAAATTGTTTCTTGTGAGTTTGTGTCCATCAGATTTCGTCGTGTACAAAACAAATAAAGTGTGCACTGAGAAAGTGGGGAGCACTGGACAGCTGTTTCAATCCGATTGGGTTTTACCTACGGTGCGATTCTATCGTCCCCTGGAGGCTAGTGCCGAGATGCGCAAGGTGTGGTGCAAAGTGGCCGACCACTTGATCTTTGTCACCAACCTGGAAACAAATGTACAAATGGAATTTATCAGCTCTTGCTGGTCCACCCGGTGACGCCTCATACATTCATTCAGTGTGGCATCGCAACAACAACAACGACAACAGCCGTAATCTCAGCTGTAATCATCCTCGAAACCACCTGCAATTTTGACTGATCTGGAGGGATTCAAAGAAGGACTGTGAAGGTGACCATACTATCGTGTGTGTGTGTGTGTGTGTGTGTGTGTGTGTGTGTGTGTGTGTGTGTG